TTCACATGTGATCTCACACGTGGTAATTTGCTCGAAATTGTATTGTGGGCAACAGGGAGACCGACAAGTGTGAGCGTGTGTTCGGAAGAGCCGGCGGGTTGCGCAATTGTTTCAACGAAGCGTCTGACATCATCGTGTCACTTCCTTCTGTTCGGTTCATTTTCTTGTGGACAACGGTGATCTACAGTACACTAAACGTCAACGGAAAGGGCCTACCGTGTCACATGTCTGTTGGCGACGGGCTGCACTCTTCTTGCAATCGATGATTGGGCGAACCTGACAGTCCCGGACGGCCACCGAGATCGCGATGGGTTTGTGGATTTCCACGAAGTGCTGTAGTATAGCAGTGGGCCCTATGCGTGAACGAGTGGGTCCGGCATACTGGTCATTGGCACGAATGGGGACCGCTTGGTCTAGGCACAGTCCTGGGGTGGTATGCAGAGATGCGAAGTTGGTTGGTACGTACGGTATCAGGCATCATGTGAGGGCTGTCACGCCGTAGATTTCGGGGAAATAATCTGGCTCTCGGAAGTCCTGTATCCTGCTATCCTGCTTCACGCATTCATGGGTTGCTTTTCAGGATTTCAGGAATGTGTCGGCAACATACAACCGTTGGCGGTGTGCTGGATCACAGGGCGCTACTACGGTCCAGGAAGGACTCCATGCTCCTATGCCGGTACGGTATCGTGGTCTGGGTCCAAAAGGGGGCACAATCTGCCACAACACTCTTCCGGGATTGTTTTTTCACATGGGCAGCTCATGGGCAGCCCATGAGCAATATGCATGAGCTGCACATGGGCAGATCATTATGCCTACGTTGGGCGCACCCGGTCAAGGATGTGTAAATATGAAATAACGCAATCCAGACCAAGCATTGGCCCTGTTACCCTGTGAAAGTACAGTGCATATAGAATCTACGCAGCTATACGTATGTAGTGTTTGACGGTCCTTGCCATTCTTCGGGTAATCGACAATCGTCGAGGTATTAGATCTGGACCCAAATATGGTCGCTTCTTGCTGGGGGCACACTGAGAAACGCTGACAGAATAGGGCGAGTATATCCATTCTTAACCAATCGTTGGACGTCCTGATGAAAGGGTTAAGGTTAGGGTTGGGGTTTCCACGGTGAGTATTCGATGGGCACTGCCCATTGTGAGCATATTGAATACCTGCGATGGCCTCCGCTTGGGAATGCCCATGAGCGCGCCCGTGGGCCGCCCACCATAGGGTAAGTTGCAGTGAATTACATCTCTCACGTTTGGCAGCCTATGGGACTGCGCGTAGTCTTGTCCGCAGCCCATGGGAAAATGAGCATTCTGCAAAAGCAAGTGTGGGAGACCCAGAGAGCAGGGACGTGCAGGCACGATGTTATCCAAGCCATATGGGCGATACATATGTCTCGCGTGATCCTATTACGGTCAACAAAGACTGCGCAGAATACGTGTAATTCAATCCTACAACACACTTATCGGCCCAGAGTGAAAATTATGTCCTTGCCTGGGACGCGCGTGGGGAAATATCGAACCCACGAGGTCGCCGTCGGAGGCACACGTGCATCACACCGTGGTGCGTCTCGACCTCAGAGCTACGAGTTTCAAAGTATGATTTGACATCTACATACAGCGCCAGTCATGATACTTATACGGCAAGCAAGACAGAAGCGAATCAAACTCTACTCTGAGAACTCAACACAGCCGACCGTCGCAAGCATCGAAAATCACGATGATGTGCAAGAACAACCCGACGTCCCGCAAATACCAAAGGCAGGTCTACGAAAACCATGAAAATTATGCTAAACAAGCCTCACTCAGGAGAGGAGCAGGCAGACTTCATCTCAACGTTCGGCTTCATTCAGCCACAGAATACGATGAGTGGGCCAGTGGGCAATGCAGTGCACAAAGAATGGTCACAAGCCGAGGAACCTCCACCTACTACTGTAGATGGCATTAGCCGAAGAACTTGCACCTACTAGAGAGCGCGCTGGCAAAGATTGAGGTCCCACGAGCCGCACACGACCCAAACCGCTGCCGTGAATCAATGAGAACTCAGAGGAGTCGACTGGGCCAGGGTCGGCTTGTTTCCGTAAGGAAACCCACATGTTCGCGGTTGGTTATCGAGGTATTCCGCAGGTAATCGCTGCTCACTCACAAGAGCCCCCCTTCGGCGCTTCGCAATGGACCGCTCAGTCAGGTGGGATTTCGCAACCGATTTTCGTATTCGGGACTGGTACATGGACTACGCGATATCATGTCGACATATCTATTTCGCAATACTAACGATCATATCCTAATGAAAATCAACAATTATCTCCAGTTCAGGGATAGGAATACATTCAGAAGCAGCTCGGGTAGCCCGGAGATCTGTCCCGCTGTCAGTATGCGCCTGCCCTTCTATACGACTCTACCGCGGCGCCAACGATATCCAACACCAACCTCGCAGATGACTGAATAAGGACCAAGACAACGTTTAACGTTCTTACACTTCATCGTGTCTACACTACAGACAACTAGGTCGAGCCTGATACGGACTACAGTGAGAAAACCCTGCTGTTGGTGCCAAGTTGGCAACCTCACCGTCGCGAATAGGTAGAGCTGCGACAGGAAACTCTCGCCAAT